GTAGTAGTAGTAGTGATGGTAGTAGTAGTAGTAGTAGTAGTAGTAGTAGTAGTAGTAGTCGTAGTCGTAGTCGTAGTCGTAGTCGTAGTCGTAGTCGTAGTAGTAGTAGTAGTAGTAGTCGTAGTAGTAGTAGTAGTAGTAGTATTAGTAGTAGTAGTAGTAGTAGTAGTAGTAGCCGTAGTCGATGTAGCAGTAGCAGTAGTAGCAGCAGTAACAGTAGCCACTGAACGAGCAGGAAGACGAGGAGGACGAGGAGGAGGAGCAGGAGGAGAAGGAGTAGCAGGATGAAGAGAAGCGACGAGTTTTACTCCCCAGCAACAGAAAGAGGGAGGGGGCAACAACAAAACTCAAGACGTTTCACGGTTGCTGACTGACCGCGGTCCCAGCAATAGTGGGAAACATATTTTTTCCCCGGCGCACGCCGCACAACAACGACGACTCCGATTACGATTCCGGCTACGACCACGATGCGACTACGACTACGACTACGACTACTATCACTGAAGATCTCCCTTGTTTCAGTGATGAGCGACCCTGGAGTCACGGCCGACACTGCTAGTCGGAGGAGGAGGGGGAGCGGGGCACGCGGGGGGGTCGTCCTCGCGTCGAAACCGCCCACGACGATGGGCAGTGGTTGAGCAAGAATCGACCGTCCCGGCATTTGCTTAGGCACACCGCGAAATATTCTTAGAACAAACGAATGTTGCTAAGAACGGCAAACTGGTTTTAGAATATAGAGCAGATGGAAGAAACGAAGACGGTCCCAGCAAGAAATGTCCCAAGAACATTTCGTGCAGGCCACAGGAGGTTCTTAGAACATGCCGTGGTGGGCCTCTGGGCAGTCCAGGACGCCTCGCCACTACTAGAATAGGGGAACAAAAAGTGACATAAACAAAAAAACTCGGAGGTCCGCGCGGATTTCTCGGATCGGCGCTGGACCCCCCTCCCTGGCGCGCGGAGCGCGCCAGGGGCGGCGCCAGAGGCGCCGCCGGAGGGCCCAGCGCCGATCCGAGAAATCCGCGCGGACCTCCAAGTTTTTATGTTTATGCCACTTTTTGTTCCCCTATTGAAATGGGGGGGCCGCGCCGGCGCCCTAGCGGGACTCACGGGAAGATCAAGAGAGAGGGAGAAGCGACGAGGGAGGGCGGAAACCAGCGGATTGGGGGGGGGATTGGCTCTGCGACCCTCGGGGCGCCTCTCCACGAGTGGGTCGGGGCGTGCCCTCCCACAGGCGGCTTTGGGACGCGACATCAAGCATGGTGAAGCAAAAACTCCAGGCATGCTGAAACATCGTCAGGAACTCGTCCCCAGACTATGTTTGGACCGCCTTTGGAGATTCCTCCTGTAGAGGGACAGGCCCGACTTCATGCTGGCACCGCTGCCCGGACCCGTGGACGGGGGGGGCTCCGAGGCCCCAGCGTGGCGCGCCATGCGCTCCGTACACCTCTGGGCCCAACTGTAGGGACCGACCGTCCCGGCATTTCTAAGGTCCTACCACGACATGTTCTTAGAGCTCAAAAACGGTCTAAGAACCAGAACCCGTGTTGCAACAAGACAGCTTCAACCAGAAATGCTCTGAGAACATGCCGTGCAAACGACAAAAGGTTCTGAGAACATTGTTTGGTAGGGCTACACAGTCGAGCCAGGACGCTTCGCCACTGCTTGAAACTGGTGCGCCGGATCTCTGGGGGGCACAACTGGTGCGTACGTTTGGAGGAGGAGGAGGAAGTCCTACGACTACAAAAAGTTGAGCAGGCCCCTGCTCGCGGCGATGGGCGCCAGAAGAGAGCCATGGGCAGCTCGCGTGGGCGTGCGCCTGCCGAAGCCGCCAGGCGCACGCCAGGGCACTGGGCAAAGCACGCCGGCCACCCTCCCGGCGACACGCCAGGGCGCGCTGGGAGCGAGGAGGACGAGGAGGAGGAGGAGGAGGAGGAGGAGGAGGAGGAGGAGGAGGAGGAGGATGGAGGAAGGGGAGGCACATGCCAGGCGCACGCCCGGGCACCGGCAAGTATGCTGGGCCACCCTGCCGGCGGCACGCTGGGGCGCGTTACCGTCGGAGAGTTGACCGAAGGAACCCTAAATAATGAACGAGGCCCCTTTTCCTTTAAGTTAAACTTCGATTTCCCATGGAAAACCTCAGGAAAACCTGAGGCAAACTGCCAAACAATCAAGGAACACCGAGCCCCTCCCCGACGAAAAGGTTCCGTCTTCAGCGCCCCGACTGTAGAAGTTCGGAGGAGCTCGAGCTGTCCGTCGCCTTCCAGGGCAGGTCGCAGAACGCGGCGTGTCCACTTAAGTCGGGCATGTCCCCCTACAGGCGGATTTTGGATGACACATAAAAATAGCCAAACCATGCGGCAAAATAATCAGAAAACACTAAAAAATCACCCCCAGACTATTTTTAACTATTTTTTGAATATTCCTCTTGTAGAGGGACATGCCCGAGTCAAGTGTACACCGCAAGCTGTTCCGTGGTGTTGCTCCCCGTCGCCCAGTTCTCATCATCCAGTGATCTCCACGGCTGCCGAAGGCCCCCCCGCACGAAGCACCAAGGCGCCCACGAACCAAAGGCGGGCCAACGAACCCCCGGAGGACCAGGACCTCCGCACGGCCCCAAGACGACCCAACACGCCCTCAGAAGACGCTCTAAGAGCATTCCGTCGAGGCCCTGAAGAAAAACAAAAAAAACATTGAGACCCTTCGTCGGAGATCACTGTCTGAGGGAACTCGTCTAGAGATCTCACCTCATCCTGACCCCCAGCGCACGGAGGGATGGGCCCGCCAATCGCACCCCTTCTCCGCTTCCGCGATACCTGGGAAATCTGGGAAAAAGCTGGCGACGAACTCCGAACCAGCGCCTCCCGCTCACTCCCAAACAGCCGCCGAAACAGTGCGGGCGCGGCCGCAAGAAACCCTCGCAAGAAACCCAACCCTGAAAACCCGCGCGCCAGGTGCACCCCAGGGGAAACCCAGAGCACCCTCAACGCAGCAGCCTCTTCGACGGCTGCGGAAATGCACCGTGCAGCTCGCGGAGTGAAAGAACCCAGGGTACCCTGACGAAAAGTATATGGCTTCTTGATGCGCGCCCCCATTGTATGGCTTGTTCAACCCGCGGCCCCAAGGTCCCGACCCCTTCCCCGGGGGTGTTTTCCCGTCCCGAATCCACTTCTGATGGCCCCGCGGGTCCGAGAACGGGCCCCGGAGATCGAAACCAGGAACACAACAAAAAAAAACGCCATTACGCCAGAGAACAGCCCCAATCAGTGGATGGTTTGATCGATAAGGAGATCAACCAGGAACTGGGGAACCCAAAACCTCCCGAAATCGGCCGGAACCAATAACCAAGAACCAGGAAACCCGGAACCAGGAACCCGGGAACCCAGCCGGCCACCGAAATCGGCGGGACACTTTCGCCGAATCTTTCAATTTCCGCTGGGACCCATCTTGTGCTTGTCACTGATTGGGGAATGTTGTAAAACACATATCCTCGGATTTCTGGATCCTCCTCTCGCCTACAAATGCACGCCCTTTCTTCGATATGCAGAAACTCCCGATCAGCCGCAGAGCGGGCGGCCGACGAGGGCAGGAGGAGGAGGATGAGAAGAAGGAGGAGGAGGAAGGGGAGGAGGAGGAGGAGGAGGAGGAGGAGGAGGAGGAGGAGGAGGAGGAGGAGGAGGAGGAGAGGAGGGGGAGAAGGAGGAGGAGGAGGAGGAGGAGGAGGAGGAGGCGGAGGGGGAGGGGGGGGTGTCTGGGCCTCGGCCAGTGCTCAGCCGATCCGATTCTGCCAGCCGCGAGGGCCCGCCCTTCGGGGGAGCCCCAGAGGGCCCGTGGCACCCCCCAGAAGCGGCCACCGACGCCTCCGCCGGGCCCACTGCAGGCCCCTCACTCCCGCTGGCGGCTTGCCGCAAGCAGCTGGATAACAATATGCTTAAGTACGTATGTATATACATGTATATATATATACATATATATATATATATATTCACATAGAGATTATCCGAATCATATATTATGTATTATGCCGGGGACGCCAGAAAAAGACCCCCCCTAACAAATTTGGCCCACCCTGGCCTCTCGGGCAACCCTCCAGACGACCCGGGAAAACCCCATGGGAACCCGGAGACGGCCCCAAAGGGCTCCAGGCGTTCCGGCGCGCTCCCGAAACGACCCCAAAGAGCCCCAAGACGGTCCACGACGACCCAAATGAAGCCGTCATACCCCCAAAGATCGCTCCAAAACGACCCAAGAGGCCTCCAAGAGCAGTCCCAAGAAGGCCCCAAGAGGCTGAAATCATTGACTGTATTTTGGTTTCTGGTGAATTTTTGGGCTCTCATCTTTTCTCGGGGGAACGAAAGGGGGGGATAGCAAAGGGCAGAGTAGCGAATCAGCTCACGTAGCTGATTTTCCCGGCGCCTCCCAGCGCCGGGAGGCGCCCATGTATCGAAGACTGGGCCCGGCGGCGGGGCCGAAACCAGCTGCATGCAGCAGATTTCGTAACCCCCCCTTTCCCTATTCCCCCCTTCGTTCGGCCCGATTTTCGGCTCCCGACGCTCCAGGACGGCGGTCTTCTGGGCGTCCGAAGCCGCCCGGGAGGCTCGAAGATCGCCCCACAACCATCCGAAAGGGCTTCCAGGCCGTCCAGGAGAGCCCCACGACGGCACAACAGGGTTCCAAGATGGCCTGATAGAGCCCCATGACGGCCCAAGATGGCCCCAAGACACCCTCCGAAGCATTCCAAATCGTAACCTGGTCGTTCAAGGAGATCGCGGTTGGAGGCAGGGCGGCCCGAGGAAGCCCCCAGAGGCTCCCAGAAGACGCCCAAGAGGCCTCCAAAAAGCCTCAAGAAAACCTGAAAAGCTGTTGTGAGGCCCCTGAGGCTCTCCAAGGAGGAGCCTCCGCAAAAAGAGCTGAGGAGGACGGTGAAAATACGCAGGGTATGGCGAGAATTAAGAAAAATAAGCATGGAGGCAGGACAACGAATAACATGAATATAACGGCGATGCCGGAAAAGAAAACAGAGAGTTCTTGCTAAATTGTCGGCTGGACCTTCCTGCCATTCTGCCTGCATGCCAACCTTCAAGGACCAAGACTGCATCGGCGCGAAGCGCCGATGCAGTCGTGTGTATGTGCATGTAGATAAGCACCTATTTGTATGGATGCACATGTGTATGTATATCTGTGTATATATACACACGTATACTCCAGAATTCGTAATAAAAGGGAGGGGGTCTGGACCCTCCAAGACAAGCCATTTCAGACCTCCCCCGTGGGAGAACCCTCCAAAACATCGCCCCCAGACCCCCAAGTCCTCCAAGATAGCCTGGAAGAGACCCCCCCCCGAAATGAGACCCCCTCCCTTTATTACGAAATCTGGAGTACCTGTTGGCCGCCGCACGCACCATGATCCCCCCTTTCCTCTCAAGAGCACGGCAGCAGGGACAGGGTGGCGGTCCGGGTGCGTGCGCCGGCCGAGGAGGGGGCGGAGGCCCCGGGGCGGGCTGGCCTTGTGCGCTGGAGGCGAGGGGGTGCTGAGAACTGGGTGCCGTGCTGTAGGACGGAGGGGGGTAGAGTACTCCAGATTTCGTAGTAAAGGGAGGGGGGTCTCATTTCGGGGGGGGGTCTGTTCCAGGCTATCTTGGAGGGCCTGGGGGGTCTGGGGACGATGTTTTGGAGGGTTCTCCCACGGGGGAGGTCTGAAATGGCTTGTCTTGGAGGGTCCAGACCCCCTCCCTTTTATTACGAACTCTAGAGTACACGGTGATTCTCAAGCTCATCGTGGGGAAGGGGCCTGTGGAGTATTGGGTGTCGCGTTGGAGACGGAGTCAGACGGAGGCAGGGTGTGATGTTGTAGACGGAGGGGGTAGAGCAGAAGGATCTGTTCAGGTTCAGCTCGGGGAGGGGGCCTGCGGGGTGCTGGGTGTTGTGTTGGAGGGGGAGGCAATTCAGCACTGGGTGCTGTGTTGGAGACGGAGGGCTGTGGGGAGGGAACCTGTTGAGATTGTGGAGTTGCGTTGGCGACGAAGGCTGCTTTGTACTTGGTGTTGCGTTGTAGACGGGGGGGACAGAGTAGGTCATTTTCAAGTTAAGCTTCAGGAGGAAGCCTGTGAACCATTGGGTGTTGTGTTGGAGACGGAGGCTGTTGAGTACTTGGTGTTGTGTTGTAGACGGAGGGGATCGAGTATCAAGTTCAGCTTAGGGAGGGGGCCTGTGGAGTATTAAAAGCTGCATTGGCGACGGAGGCTGTTAAGGACTAGGTGTTGTGTTTTAGAAGGAGGGGGTTGGGTATACATTCGTTTTCAAGTTCCGCCTGGGGAAGGGAGCCTGTTGAGAATTGGAACCTGCGTCGGAGACGAATGCGGCTTAGTATTGGGTGTCATGTTGTAGACGGAGGGGTCAGAGTAGAAGGTTATGTTCAAGCTCAGCTTGGGCAGGGGTCCTAAGGTGTATTGGGTGTCGTGTTGGAGACGGAGGGGGTAGAGCAGAAGGCTATGTTCAAGTTCAGCTTGGGGACAGGGCCTGTTGAGAATTGGGTGTTATGTTGCAGACGAAGGCTGCTTAGCACTGGGTGTTGCGTTTCAGACGGAGGGGGTAGAATAGAATGTTAGTTTCAAGTTCAGCTTGGGGAGGGAGCCTGTGGAGTATTGGGTGTTGTGTTGGAGATGGATGATGTTGACTACTGGGTGTTATGCTGTAGACGGAGGGGGTAGAGTGGAAGTGTCGTTTCAAGTTCAGCTTGGGGAGGGGGCCTGTGGAGTATTCAATGCTGTATTGGCGACGGAGGCTGTTGAGGACTGGGTGTTGTGCTTTAGACGGACGGGGTTGGGTAGAAGTTCGTTTTCAAGTTCCGCTCGGGGAGGGAACCTGTTGAGAATTGAGTGCTGTGTTGGAGACAGAGGCTGTTGAGTACTGGGTGGTGTGTTGTAGACGGGCGGTTACTGTCTAGTTCAGCTTGGGGAGGGGGCCTGTGGAGTATTTTGTGTTGCGTTCGAGACGGAGGCTGTTGAGTACTGCAAGGGGCGAATATCGCTCCAAACTGGGGCCGGACAACCTTGCAAAAACGAAGCCTCGGAATTGAGTGCGAAATCCGTACATGAATCCAGATTTAAGTTGCACAACATGGGGGGCTCATGGTGCGTGCGGAAGGCGATATATAGCGATATATATATATATATATATACATATATATATATGTACATATACACATATGTGTATATACATATATGCGTAGGTCTGTTTATGCATACACACATCTGTGTATATATTTGTATGTGTATGCACTCTATACACATAAGTAATGTTTGTTTACGTGTATACAGTGTACATACATATACAACATGGAAGAATGGGGGAGGGGACACGTAGGACCCCCCAAATGGGGCGGACACGAAGGTCCCGCCAAAAAAACACGCCACCGCGCCGTAGTCGCCACTCCGCTTGACCGCCGCAATGCACGCCTCGCGGTGCTGCGCGCAACGTTCACACCTCTCCCAGGTGGTAGCGCCGCCATCCCTGCAAGGCTGACGAGAAGGCGTGGCTGACGAGAAGACACGAGCCAGACATGTCAGGCGAGAGGGGTGCCTCAAGACCTGTAGTCGGCGTTGCAGTTCACGTAGCCGGTGGTGAGGTCCGAGCCCAGCATCACCGCGGAGCCGTCGCCGGCGCCCAGCTGGACCTCCACGTCCACGACGCGGAAGTGCGGCGGGTAGGTCAGCTCGGCGTCCATCTCCGCCTCTCCGAGCGGGGAGGGGACGGCGCGGGGGGCGGGGCGGGAGGAGGAAGAAGACGAGGGGCGGAGCAGGACGAATAGGACAGGGGAGCGGGGAAGTGGCCTCTGCAGAGGCCTCCCGAATGACTGAGGTCCGATCTGATGCGGGCCGAGGATCGCGCCGCATCGGCGATGCATCAGCGACGTCAACGTGGAGAGCATCGGGCCCCTCATTGAGTCGCATCGTCGATGCATGGGCGGTGCGGCGCGACCCTCGGGCCCTAGACTCTGGAGTAGCGGCTTCTCGGGGCCAGCTCTCGGGGGCCTAGCCTGGGCATGCCCGCGCGCTGGTGCTGGGGGGACCCGTGGGCCCCACATTAAATAGACCACTGCAGCGTCCGTCGCGGGCGTTGCTCAATTGCGGGGCGAACAACGGGGGAGTGAGAAACGTGCACCATTCGTGCCCCTTCTGGGCCATAGGTGGCCCCTTTAGGGCCCCTTTCGGGCACAACCGGTGCACCATTCTACACCTTCATTCTTATCGCCCCCCCATTACGTATCGCCCGAGTGTCTCTGCCTCCTTGAGGTGCTGGCTGAGCTTCGCCTCCTGCGCCTCTAGAGGAAGAACAACAAAAACACAGATGCCAACTTTCGGAGCTCCGCGCGGGGTTCCTGGATCGGCGCTGGAGACCCCTCCCTGGCGCGCAGAGCGCGACAGGGGCGCCGCCGGAGGCGCCGACAAGGGGGCCCAGCGCCGATGCGAGAACTCCGCGCGGACCTCCGAAAACCGATGTGTGTGTGTGTTGTGTGTGGGTGTGGGTGTGTGTATGGATGTATGTGTGTGTGGTGGGTGTGTGTGTGTGTGGGTGTGTGTGGGTGTCTGTGTGGGTGTGTGTGTGTGTGTGTCTGTGTGTGTGCGTGTGTGTGTGTGTGTGTGTGTGTGTGGGTGTGCGTGTGCTTCCTCCTCCCCAGACCCCCGACGTAATGTTGTTTTTATTACGTCGACCCCCAGAGGTCCCGACCCTTTCCCCATGACCGGCTTTGCATCCTGAGTCGTTTTTTGACGCTCCCGAGGCCCGGTGAGGGCCCCAGGAGGCCGAAAATTAGGAAAAACCTCCCGTCATGATTTTTTCATTACTCGAGGGGGTCTGGGTCCGGCGCCTCGTCGATGGAGAACTGCCCGTCGGCGAAGATGGTCTGGCCGGCGATCCGGAACGCGGCGCCCTCGGCGGCGCCGCGCTCGCCCATGGCCCCCAGCTGCTGGCCGACCTTGCCGACCAGGCGGCCCACGTTGGTCGGGCATCGCCAGGGCCCTGGGTAAGGGGACCTGGTAGTTATTGGGCCCCAGAGCCCGGAAGCTGGCCAGGACCGCTGAAAAAACCAGGCCTGCCGCAGCTGGTGTTTTGCGCGGGTGGCGGCAGCTCCGGTCAGTGACATGGGGCGGGTGGGGGGGGGGGCGTCCCCCGGTACACATCACTAAACCCAGACCCCTGGCGTCATGACTTGTTCATTGCGCCGACCCCTGGAAATCTCGACCCATTCCCCTGGACGGGTTTCTCCTCCCGAGCCGTTTTGTGACGGCCCCCAGGGCCGGTAATGGCACTGGGAGGCCGAGAATAGCAAAAAGCCTCCCGCCATTAGGGGAACAAAAAGTGGCATAACAACTCGGAGGTCCGCGCGGATTTCTCGGATCGGCGCTGGGGCCCCCCGGCGGCGCCTCCGGCGCCGCCCCTGGCGCGCCCCGCGCGCCAGGGAGGGGGATCCAGCGCCGATCCGAGAACTGCACGCGTACCTCACACCTTTCATGTTTATGCCACTTTTTGTCCCCCTAGCCATGCTTTTCTCCTTGCCCGAGGGGGTCTGGGAAACCAGGTCCCGCGAAGCCCAGTGCTGCCGACGCCCGAGTTGGGGTCGTTGCCCGCCACCGCGCACTTGAAGAGGGGGCCGTTGGCCACGGCGCGGCCCACGCGGAGCGCGGCGGCGTCGCTGGACGCGCCAGTCACCTCGGTGGCTCGGGCTTATGCTCCTGCATCCCGCCCCTGGCTCGAGGAGGAGGAGGAGGAGGAGGAGGAGGAGGAGGAGGAGGAGAGGAGGAGGAGGAGGAGGAGGAGGAGGAGGAGGAGGGAGGAGGAAGGAGGAGGAGGAGGAGGACGAGGGAGGAGGGGGGAGAGAAGGAGGGAGGAGGGAGGGAGGAGGAGGAGGGAGGAGGGAGGAGGAGGAGGAGGGAGGAGAGGAGGAGGAGGAGGAGGAGGAGGAGGAGGAGGAGGAGGGAGGAGGAGGAGGAGGAGGAGGAGGAGGAGGAGGAGGAGGAGGAGGAGGAGGAGGAGGAAGCCACTGGCTGAGGAAGCGGGGCCAGCCGTCGTGTCGTCGGCCCGCCCCTTGCCCCTCGTGGCCGCGCGCAGCGGCGGCTGCGATCGGCAGCTGGTGCAGCCGCACGCCGCAGGCGCCGCGGGCTGCCCCCACATCTCGGGCCGCCCCTGCGAGGAGGTGGCCTGGCCCCCAGCCAGGCCGCGCGGGAGGCAGACGCCACGCCGCGCACTGTCGGCGAGCCAGCCTGGCATAGGCGGGCCAGGCATCAGCGCGCAGAGGCCAGGGTGCCCCTGAAGCTCTGCTCGGCGGCGCAGGTGCTAGAGCAGCACCACTCTGCGCAGCAGCACCAGCGCAAGCAGCACCAGGATCAGTGGTATCAAGACGAAGAAATGGCACCGCGGTCTCAACAGAGTGGGCATTATCAGAAGTATTACATGCAGAGGGACCAACAGTCCTGGAAAGACAAGGCACCATGGTCACGTCGCAGAGGGAGCAAAAGCCAGCCGAGACCACGCGATCAACAGCATCTTGAAAGGGATAGACGGCTACGGGAAATATTTGATGAAATACCGATTGTCAAGGTGGACGAAGCGACTGAGCATTCAATATATGCGGCGCCACCAGAAGGGAATCAACACATACAACAGTACAAACGGGATGCCAACCAGAATATCAACAAAATGCTGAAGATGATCATGGCGGCGCGAGAGGCGGATCAAGGTTGTGTATCACAGGTGGCAGAAGTAAAGGTGCCAAAATATATGTTGATGATTGCCAAAGTTTAAGCAACGGCGGATCTTAGAGAACGCTATTGAGAAGTTGGAGGCCCAAATCAAGAATATTCAAAATGAAAGAAGGAAGTTGTCGGATCAGGAAGCGGAACTCCGACAAAAGAGGGAGCACACGCATGAGTTGCTGAGTGACCTAAAGAAGAAGCTCGGGGAAGAGGACGAGGACTACCTGATGGAAGATGAGGACGATATGCGGCATGGAAAGATATATGATCACGAGACTGGAGTACGACGGGCTGAAGTATCAGCGGCATCGAACTGGGCGCCCGCACCACAGAAAAAAAATGCAACATGGACCACGGGTACCGTCGCACCCTCACAAGGATGTCGTAGTAGTCGTACGTATTCTCCATTCATCATGTACCATTTGTCACACCAACAATCATAATCCATGTTTTGGCCATCAATGTCGACCACGATATCTCTCTCGATGTACTGCTCTTTTACGCCAGTAGGTATCTTGGCCGTGTCCGTGAGCACGCACATCGGAACATGAGCCTTCACATAAGCGTGACATAACACCATTAGAGCTCGAAGCACTGTATTGACTTTTGTCTGTTTGTTCCGCATTCTTCCATGCATTTCAGCACCACCCCGCAACCGCATCCCAATGTATCCGTATAACTGCCCAACCACTCCAAATGTCTTCCGTCTGCTGATGTCTGAAACCATCGAGTTACACATACCTTCCATGGCGATCGCCTCCATATCGAATGTCCGAATGTCAACCTTTCTAATTCTGAACGGAGCATCCTCAGGGCAACTACTCACCCAGGGTATGTAGTCCCTCTCATAATCATATACCAATAACAATTGCGACTCACCATCCACACACTGGTGAGTCAGATTTTCTCCTTGGCAAGAATTTGTCACAGCGTCGGTTATCACCTGCGGAATTACCACCTGTTGATCCTCCTTCGACTTTGAGTAACGACACTATCTCGGCCCTCTTGTTGGCGGCCGCAGTGCTTTTGATTCCGAATATCCCATGGCCTTGTGCGTAGCTGTTTCTTTCACATATTTCTCGTCCAACTCTGCCAATCTGTCATCGTCCATTGGCTCCACTACACAACGCAATATCTCGATACATTTCGTTTGTCGGTATTTCAAGTGATATATCAGCCTCTTCCTCGCATGGAAATCCACATCACATGCAGCGCAATACCCATCATATGCATATCGAGGTATGTCAGCGTAGTTGCCGTGCACCTTCGTCCGATGCCCGTGCCACGCACATTTGGTGTCAAATGTAGCACCACATTCATAGCAGAAAAACTGTATCTTCTGACCCACCTCATGTGCCCGTGGGACCATACCCCGAACTTCATGAAGCCATTCTTCATGCTGACACTGTTCGGTGTGCCATTGCAGGAAACGTTGCCAAGCTGCGGCACATATCGCCAGATATCTCGTGGGGGTCTGCTGGGTAAGCTGAATCCATTGCCGCATCTCCGTTGGTAGGGCATTGGTATTCTTCCATTGCTGCAACCATTCCAAATCCGTCTCAAGAGCACCCAACCACGTACCCTCAATACCAAGTATATCAACCAGTCGCCGTAGGGTCGCTGGTGTATGGTTTACCACTCTCTCTAGATACCGAGGCCTCCTCATACGCGAATTGTCGTGAAATCTGCCCGTTTAGCTTTCCAAAGAACATATTCATCTAGTTGGTGCTCCACCGTACGTGCATCATGAGTTAGGCCCGTCGCCACTCGGAGACCACGCACACACGCAGCCCTCAGCCGTGCCTCGTTGCCTTCGCCAAGTGCATGCCATATCTCGATTTGCTGGAACAGCCGCGAAAAAAAGCCAACGCCTCCACATATCTGACTTCGAATTCGTCCTTAATATTGTTTCGTGGTATGATGCTCCGCCTGATAGGACCCAGAGCCTGCTCGCAACTTTGTATACGACGAGTAATTTCTGGGCGCCACGAGCTATCGAAAGAAACCACCACTCCCATATGTTTGTAATGACGTTCAATGTGAAACGTAAATCCATACTTGGCACTCGTAATCGACACCTCCCCTCCGTATAATGTTTCACGAAGGGCCTCGCGATTCGATCCCCGCAGCTGAAATAGTGCACCCGTTTTCTCCCTTCCATAATTCGGCTCCATAAAATGCGCCACTTACGAAGCGTGCATGATGTCCATCGCGTCCTCCACATTCTGGATAATACAATCAGTTTCCTGCACTGTTGGGATCATCGCATCATCTACAAAGGTAATATCCACCACGGGGTTGACATCATCCCCAGGTCTGCTTACAAGATCGTGCTCAGGTTGGTACATGCCAAGATCCAAGACCAGACTCGCTGCCTGCAGACTCCTGTGGACCAAATCCAACGGCTTCGTGAACACAATATTGAAGAGGTAGTCTGCTGTCGCACACCCAGGTCTTGTCCCCCGTGCGGGCATGCCCAGTAGTGTAGAAACCCCTACTTCAAAGCATACTAGACGTTGTGATTCCGCCACCAGCATCGCCAGATGAGGGCCCACTCGTCGATCATCCGACAGCGCTGGCTGTGATAGGATATGACTGGCCAGTGGTACCAAGCATATTGGGATATCGCAATCATTCAAGATCGACTCTGGCTCGTCCTCCAAATATTGCATACGACTCGCCGTCTGTCGAATGATGCGATGGAACGCCGCCTTGAGATCCAAAAATATGAGCGCCGCTGACACTAGATTCTTAGCCGCCAGCAGTGAGATCAACCGAGCTTGCTGCGATGCCATCACCGGTGATCTCCTAGGCCTTCCCCCAAGCTGAGAATTTCAGCATGAAGTCCAGCGTGCATGCCAACTCCCTCCTCAAGAATCTGCAATGGTGCTTCGCGAATGCATTGCAGATCGTCACCGCTCTGAACGCTTTGTTCGTAGACGGGCCCCCTGCATTCTTTGATACCTCCCCCAGCCTACTATGCTTGAACGCAATGGGTTCCTTCCCAGTCGCACATACTTTCACCAACCGACAGCGGGTTAACCAACCTGGCGATCTGTTTTGGCGCTGCATGCAACACTCCCTCCAACGGCCCATCAGCGCCCGCAGCTCGCCTTCATGGCCCCCGCGCTAGCCGATACTCAGTATCCGCCAAGTGAAGGAGCATCTCAATATCCAAAGATACTTTCCCAATCGCCGTGCTCGGAAATTTCTGGTACACCCCTGCATATTCCTGGGCCGAAACCACTTTCGCATCCTCAAGATTGCTGTATACTCGCATCCTATTCGTTCCCATTCCTTCCTCTGGTGCAATGACTTTCCCTTCGTCGCCCTTTCTGTATGGTAGGAATTTCCCATTAGAAAACCTCGGGTGTCTCTGCCTCCACAACGCAAAATCTTCTTCGCCGCCTGCCATGCCCGTCGGTGATCTCCAAGTGCCGCATGTGCACCAACCTGCTCCGCCTATCCACTCAATTTGTCATCTTTCTCTTTTTCCAGACGACAATTCAATATATTTGTGGTGATCCGCATGCCTGCTTCCATTTGACATTTGAGCTCGATATTGGACCTGATCCCATTATTCCAAAACTGTACGCCCAGCACCAGCTTCTCCGACACATCATGTCAGGGATCGCCATCCTGCGACAATAATTGGTATTGGATGGGCAGGAACTTGCATACATTCTGAAAGGGTATGCTCTCTCCTCGCCGAAAGTTCCATAGCCCTTGTAACACATACCTTCGTAGTCTGATGAGCCGCAGCGTATCTCTTGTTATGTACGACTGCGCTGGTGTAAATATGTCTCTCGCAAAACACCACCGAGCTGCGTCCTTGACCTGCCTCATTACGTCAGCATACTGAGAATTGACATCCTGCTCCCATGGCCCAGGTTCAGCTTTGTCGAGGAGTTCTCTGAACTTGGTACAACACTCTTCCTGCTTCATTTTATCGCATGA